TTTTGAGGTGGGGAAAGAACATACCGGCAGAGACAGGATGGCAAGAGTATGCCGCTGCTTGTCAGATGCATAAAGGCATCAGGAAATCAATGCTCACAGTCAAAATTGCCTTACAAAACTAGAGAAGCAGCCTCTTTCGATTATAAAGATTGCCTCTGGACAATAAACAACAGCATCTGTCCTCCCGACTCTGAGCATCTTGAGTTTGCTTTCTTTCCTGTCCTTGAGGAGGTGGAGAGGAGAGAGGACAAAACAAGACAGCAAAACCAGTTCAAGCTAGGAAGGCTCTACAGCAGTTCCAAGGAGCATTTTACCGCAGCTCACTGAAAGCAGAGGGAGCAAACTCCAATGCATTATTTAAGACTACTCTCACGCTGCTGACCCTCCATAGATGCAGAACAATATATGGGCCTCTGCCGGTAAAAGGAGGCTCAAATATGAAGAAAGTAAATAGAATTCATATTAGAGATGGTGAAGCAAAACAATACAGATCAAAGGAATACCTGTATGCCATGATACAATAGTGCAGTCCCTGAGGGGTAAGCAGGCAGCAATGGAGGGTTGCAGAGCAATTCCCAGATTCACACATTGGTCATAACACTCAGGCAGCCCTGACCACCTCGTCAACAGTCCATCACCCACACACTCACCTGCACAGCCAGAGTCATAAATCAGGAAACAACGGGTTTCTCTATCAAAACTCAATTTCTCACTAACCATCCCATCGCTCTTCATGCCTTGCTTTCCCCCAGTACCCACAAGACACCAAAACTGCCTGACACAGCGGCAGGTGAGAAGCAAGAGGAGCACTCACCTTGCAGGCTGCTTCTCTGAGCCATCTTCCTGCTTGGATCTCTGAAGCACAGATTGCCTCGGGGCTGTTTTATACAATGCCTGAAGCAACAGCTGATGGTGAATTTGGGGGTTTTCCCATCAAAGTGCATTCAGCTGTGTGTTTACCTGCCTGAAGGACTGTTTTCCTCACAGTTGGCAGGTATTTGTTAATCAAGTGAGAAAAGGTATCTTGAAGGTTTGGTCATGTGCTGTGCATATATACATACCTATACGTGTATATATGTCTGCGTGTGCATGCGTAAGTGCAGAGACAGGTAAGAGATACACAGACAATTCATGATATTCACAACTCATTCCTCTGTATAAATACATATAGAGAGCTATAACACTCTCAGGCTCCCTAAGACAGACTGTGGATCCTAAATGCTAAAACATATCCAGTAGATATGTTTAGTAGAAAGGAGCAATGTTCTCCCTTTCCATTTGCCATTTTTCTTTGGAAGTATCATTTCTTGTTTGTACACTTCTTTGTACTCTGATAGCAGCTAGCCAAGTGTTAATGAAGGTGACAACGAAACAGAGCCCATTTGACCTGTGGGAAGACAGTCTCTGTGCAAAACATTGGGAATTCTTGGCCGGGGGCCATCCAGTGGAATAGCTAAATATTCACCCAAGGGCTGTGCTTTTAAACCAGCCATCTAAAGGTCTGGTTTCGTGGCTACACAGTGTGAGAATACTAAAAACCAGGTGCCCGTAACAAGCCATTTGTGAGCAACCTAAGACTGGATCCTGTCTGCGTCGCTAACATGGCAAATTACCTGCAAGCGCTAATTATCTTTCCAGCCATGACAGGCCTATTATAATGCAGATAAAAGAGAACTGGACCCGCAGCTGTATGGCACCAGAAGCATTTGCATGTCTTTGCTTGCGCTGACCACTGGACTTGAGGTCAAGGTTTCCTGATAGGATTTCACTCCTAGTCTCACTCCAGGTTTTCCAGGGGCCTTCAGAAAACCATTCACTCTCCCTTCATTCCTTCAACCATAAAGAAGTGACAAAAATAACTAGGACTGGGTGCTGGAATTATGTGTATGAGAAGAATGTACAAGAAGAAGGAACCTACAACCCTTTTCTTCTTATTCCAACCCTTCCCCACCCCCAGTCCCTGACAAGTCCGTACATAACTGTATTTGTCTTTGCTGCTCCCAGCTCTTCTTATGTATAACCAGACATCTGGGTAGAGTTATCGTCACAACAGTCATATGCCCGAGCAGTAACGATCATCAGCCAAATCAGCAGCTGGGGACTGTATTTTCATGACACTTCTACTTACCATGGATAGGCATCTGCAGAGAACTGTCTGCTGTACCTCTCTCTCCCGAAAAACACAGTTTTTCAGGAAGACATACTAAAGGCTTTTCAGGTTCTGATGTGCTGTGAATACATATCACAAAGAAAATATGAAATCTAGTATGCTTACTTGCCTGCCATTCCTGTCTCCAAATGAACCTCCTGGTGGAGCTTTTATTCTCTTGTCCGGTAAATTCCTTCAGATAACACTGGTTGCACCTACAGTGCACTGAAAGTTCATTCTTAGTGTTATCCATAAACCTGTTTCGCTGTTTTCTAGCTTTCTTTCACCTGTGTTTCTGCTTGAGGCTCCGTCAGTGGTCCAGGGCGAGCTCTGGCTGTGCCCTGAGGGCATCTCGGAGCTGCTTGTCCCAAGGCAGCACCCGCAGAGCCAGGTCCTGTAGGAAGGGTGGTCCTTTCCTGCAGGCAGGATTTTCACATCTTGGAAACCTCTAATTCACCTTGCAGAGAGGGAACTCTGGTGCCTTCTAAGGATTATCCGGCAGGCCAGTCACCTCTAAGAATGGACTTACTTTTTGTTTGCTGTGACAGATAAATTGATCAGCCTCCTAATCCAGTTGTGGACAAGACGTTGACAGTTCAATTTCTCATGGAAAAACTCAAGTGTTCTTTTTGCCTTACAGTTCAAGCACCTTTCTACCAGGTTCAAGGTCTCAAAGCATTCACTCAACTTACTTCCTTTGTTTGCAATATCTCTGCATCGAGTAATACAGCTTGTAGCATTTTTAGGAGGGTCTATAGAAAAGCAGCAAGATTGCCTGATGCTTGTGATGCTTTTAGTACAAATATGTAGGTCAAATGGGACCTTTTATAAAGCCCTATCCACAGCAACCTAATGGCTTTACATTTATTGCCTCACATTTACTTCCAGCAGCTCTGTTGCTTTTCTATTCCTGAAGATCCATGATAATAACAATCCTTCTCCCTCCTTTTAGGTTTCTACTAATGACCACCAGCAATGGGATTTTGCTGGAAATGAACTTGCTTGTATGTTGTTTATGTTTTCACAAATCAAATGCATTTCATATATAAAAGACAAGGATTTAAGGCGGGTTTTTGTCATCTTAAACCCTTTTCCCCCAGAAAGCAAAAGAAAACTGCAAACTGAAATGTACCTTATACAAGATCTGAACTTACACTTTTTATACTAATCTTGATCGCAGAAAAAATAATTGATCTGATAACCAGACATAGAGGTTATCAGCACGGCATCTCAATAAATGCTGTTACCACTAATACTCAATCCCACTGTATCAAATGCATCTTCCTGAAGCTCAGCAGAGACGCTGCATCTGGCACTACGGCACAAACCTCTCTACCCACGGGTGTATAAGCTGTTTTCTGTCACAGTGTTTGATTCATACATCTGTAGACATTTTATAAACACTTCCTTGATCTTTTTAGTCCAAAGTATTTAAGACGAGCGGATTTTTAGCCAGTGATGACCTAAAGAGAAACTCTGATAGGAGACGTGTGTGTTTTGTGCACTGTTTATGGTAATGTAACACAAAACAAGAACAGTACAAGATAATACTAACATGATGATAATATTTGGTTCTTATATGTTGGAAAACAGAAAACTGCGGCACACGAAGTCCCCATGATGGCTACTTCCTGCGCAGCTGCGTAAGCACAGATTACTCCAAGGCCTTTAAACACCAGTAAAAACAAACCAAAAGCCAGCTATGGCACTCCTGATGCATATCCTCCCCGAGATCACGGAAAGGAGAGTAACAGAAGACAATTCGTTGGGTTTTCTCAACTTCTGGAAAGGATAGACCTTATTGTCTCTAAAACAGAGCCAGGTCTGGTCTGGATGGAGCGATTTCAAACCCAACCAGTATTGCTGAGTATTTTGGAAGAGATGAGATCTGGAAAAGGTATTTATTGGGAAATGAGAGTAGAAACTAAGGCATATAATGTAACCTGCCACCTTTCTGAAGTGACCCTCAATAGGAGCAGCAACGTAAGGATTCCTGTCTAATCCATGGGGTTTATCTCTGGGTGTTAACTACAGTTCGAAGATGAAAAGTTTCCCGTTGAGTTTGATACGTAGACATTTAATAATGCCCCCCTGACATTATTCTCACCGTTTGTTGGTTACTTCTTGTTTGCTTTGTGAATGTTTTAGTCCCTGTAACATCCAAGCGCTCCTCCCGTACCTTGGACTTCAGCGCTTGTGGTTTTAAATGGTCTTGAATGAACTCACGTGCAAAAATCCTGGAAGCAGGTACACAGACACAACAGTGAGAAGGCTGTGGAGTTTCTTTGAGCCAGGACTATAATGCCACAGGTTTTGCAGTTGGGCATGTCCTTTGCTTCCTCAGTTTGTGTTGCTGCCCAGATAGATTAAGAGGACTCGACTTACCTTTCCCTCTGAGTCTCTTAGAGCGTGTCACAAAGATGGATCAGAAGAACTGTTTAGTTTGCTGTAAATATCAGTACCTTTAGCTTTAAGTGATCTCAGGTCAAATAGCAATGGTTTTTTACATTCATATTATGAATTTCTTTTAATTTATCTCATTCAGTCCCTGAGTCCTTTAAGAGTAGGGGCAGAAGAGCAGGAAGCATAAGGATTATGATGATGGTTCAATGCTTAAAAATTCATTTGAGTTTCCTTTGTAAAGTGTATCACTGCTATCCTTTAGTGTTTTACACAGGGGGATGAAGGAGCTCGGAATGCAGAATAAAGAAGGAAGAAGCAGAAGGAAAACATCAGGTATATAGTCAGAGCATGATATGCAATTGAAATCAGCAAAAGTGTGATGCATATGCAGAAGGGAGGATAAGCATTACATGAGAAAAAAACATTACCAGGATCCATGTACAAGCCAAAAATAATCAGTTTATTGTTCCGTCTGCGTACAATGAATTTGATCCAAAACTCTCAGAAGTTGCAGTAAGGATTCCTATCTAACATAGTGAGACACGGCTCAGGCCTCATGCCTCTGCCTCTATACATTCACACACATGGTAGATGGCCAGACATCTTTCTGCCTCTGTGGATATACATACCTGTCTATCTGAGCACTCATGTCCATATAAAGATACACTTATGAACTTATTGTCACAGCTCACTTGAAAGTCACACAGATTAAATGCAGTCCTTTTGAACAAGGAATAGTGACAAGCAAACACTTGTTCTTCCTGTCCCTGTATTCTGCACCACAGTTATGCACTTCTCACTGCGGTGTGGATTCTCAGATGGAGTTTACCCACATGCTTATGTACTACGTTACCTTCAGCGGTTCCTCCAAATACCTCCCATACTTGCCGGCTGACGTGAAGAAGACACCTTCACTCCCCCTTACCTTTTCTAGCCCTGTTACTGACACACCTTTTACGGCTGAAGATGTGATTCTGAAGCCTGTAGCTGCTCCTCAAAGTACAGAAGCTGATCCACTTCAAAGCAATCGCTTGCTCTAGAAACCATCTTCTCCAGGTGTCTCCTGATCTCCTCCTCACTGGCATCCTGCTGTCTGGCTTGCTTGAGATAGCTGTACACGGCTTCAAACACCTCTGCTCCCAGCTTCCCAATGGCAGATCTGGGGATAAGTACGAGAAAACGGTCAAGTAAAAAGTTATTCGTACTCTATATTAATACAAGTCATAGCTAGTACTGATTTTTTCTACCTGCTGTAGCTACCTTTGATTAAAATGATATACTGATGCACCTAGTTTGGCTGACAGTACAAGAAACTAAAGTTTCCGGGGGAATTTCTTTATGATTGCTTGTAATAGAAAGAGACAGGAGTAAAAACCTGGGGAAGCGTGGCCATCGTTGTCATTACAAACCAAGACTCCTTTTCACGATGAATCTGACGTACCGTTTTATCTACGGCAAGCCTCGTAGACAAACGCGTATTATTGCCTCTAGGCTGCCTCAAACCCGAAAGGAGCAACCCATGGCAGACACACACCGGTGGCATTTTATGTGAACAAACACATTTCAGGATCCGTTGTTTTATTTCAGCTTCCATCAAATAACAAGGAAACCATTGCACAAGCTCAGCAGGAGCTGGCTGACGCTCGTTTTCTGCAGCACTCTTCTTTTGTTAGAAGACAGATCTGTAATTCAGGGGCAGAGAATACACTCACAGGATCTTAATGGTGATTTATAAAGAAGATCCATTTGCAAGCAGCAAGACAATGAACAGCGCTTCTTCTAAACGCAAACATCTTTAAGTTCACGTATCACGAGCCACAGTCAACACCAAATTTTCCACTCGGTGATGGGCTCATGATATTGTGCTGAAATTAAGTTATTTCCCATCAGCATGTCAGAAACTATCTTCCCGCTCCTCACACACCCAGGATTTGTGTTGTTTTCCTTCATTACGCCTTTACGTGCTAGAGCAATTGAGATTTTATTGTCTTACAGTGTCCAACTGGCTCATTTGAGGGCTGATGATGCTCTTCACTTAGTTAGGAAAGGAGCTGGACTAATTGGGATCACCTTCCAGGAACATCTGCAGTTTGCATTAAAACATGTCTTATTTTGGGTAGGTAACGTTGTGGTAAGCAGCATTTTGCTAGGATTTCAAGAGTATTCAGGTGGGACAATCACTCCTTTTTCGGGAAATCCATCACGGCATGAAGGCCTCTTCAATAAACACTAAAATAAACCAATGGTATCTTACATTCTAATGCTCTCACGTACTTCTCAAGTATTACAAGTATTGTGTCCCTAGCATGTTAAAACATGTGATGCCTTAGCACTTTGCCTTATGGCAATGCTTTTAGCAGAGCGTATCTTCAGTGTGAGCAGCGTGCTCCTGCCTGAAGGGCAGTGCTTGCGGGGAGCTGCCTGGTGCCCTGGGCCCATGTTGCCTGCGGTTGTGCTTATCGTGCTGATTTCTCACTGCTGTCGTACATGTCTAACACCAGGGCAAGGCAAACTGTTCTAACCCCCTAGCATCATCCAGCTAAAGGGGTAGCTGCTTTTTCATCTCTAGCCATCCTGTTGCTGCTGAGGAATAACATTGTTAGAGTGAGACTGCAGCCAGTGAAACTTCCACGTCGTGTCAATTCCTCCATCCTTAGAAAACCATGGCGAAGAATTTAACTTCATTGTTTCTCAAACGGCATTGGACATGAAAGCACCCCTTTTTCTCAGTGATACAGAACCGCTTTATTAGCGTGTGAGATAGATACTTCTGAAAAACCCTGTTGTTATATATATTAGGACCCACTGCTGGTGAAAGTGCACAATACATCTAATAACGTACTTTTTCCTGAAGGATATCCCGCATGACTGCTCTGATCTCACAAGAAGGAAACATCTCCTCACATCCTGTCTGCCCTCTGCAGCTCAGTCATGCCCAGCCACGATTCCAGCCCTCTGGCTACACATCGCCCCTCCTGCTGGCTCCTGACAGAGGTGGATTGGGAACTGGGGCAGAGAAAGTGAAGACCCAGGATCAGAAGCCACAGGTCCAAGCTGGAATCTCTGCAGGTGCAGACCTGACTCAGTCCTGCTTCCTGTAATTAGAAACTGCCTTTCTTTTTCTACCAACAGTGCTTTTTAGGGGAAAACTAGAATTGTTGGAAGGGATTAATTCTCAGACACTGGAAATCTAGGGATTAGATAACCACAGAAAGCTAAGTAGGGATTTGCTCGGCAAATGATGTACATTTCTTCACAACGCTTTACCAGAAATATCACAGCATTTCTCTCCAATGGTTCAAAATCGATACATAAGAAGTGATTTTGAAATCACTGCTACTTCACTAATGCTTTTACTGACTCCTCGCTCCCTCTTAGACAAGTATGTTTAATTTTTTGGCAGTCCTGTCTACTTAAAGATGAAAAATGAAGCAAACGTCCCCCAGGAGTATTGCTTCTGCTAATAAATGTGACCTGCAGACTTAAATCTTCTCGGTTAAGCTTGGCAGAGCGTGCAAATCAGCTAATCTGTATAACAGCTGATACAATAGAATTATGGGGAATGCGTTCACAGGTGGAAAATTAAGGGGTAGCTAACAAAAATTAGAACCTGCTTTTACAGAAGAAGACATCAGGCTCTGTTTGGACTCGAGAGCTGCACTAATGCGAGGCTGCTACCACATCACACATCTTCTATCACAGAGACACAAGTGTGGTATCTAAGACGGTAAATGTCAAATAGATACTACTGAGTGAATCTACCATCCTGATGAAGGCAGGGGGAAAGTGGCTTTCTGGAAAGGGAGATTTGCCCATTATGGCCCTGATCCTGTGCTAAGGGATGTTTGTCCATCCATGAGAAGTCCTACAGAGGCACAGTTATGGATTTTCCACTGACCTGTTCACAGTTACTTCTGTTTCACATGAAACATGGGACACCTGCATTACTGGTTTGAGATGATTAAAAGCCTTACCACCAAATGTGCTGCGTGAGCAAGTACAGGGCTCCCATTTACATTCTCTTTTGCCAACGTTTTATGATCTACTGGCGGTTACTCTCTTTATGCCATCTTATAGCTTACTCACCATCAGACTCAGTATTTTCCACCAGAAATGAGCCATCATCTCTTTCTCAGCCAAGACCACACGAGCAAAGGGGATACCTGACATCTGGCACATCTGGGCCAGATCCTCATCCTACACTGCCTTAAATTGTTTTTCACTATGTTGAACTCAAAGGACTTGCATCAGGCTCTATCAACCAAGGGTCCGACTCAGGATGGTGTGTAATGTGCTTAATGTCACATCACGTACTGTTCGTTCTCTAGCTCCAACGTATTACAGAGGCTTAGATATAAGGAGGGATTCATTCATCGCTGGCATTTGAGCACTGTGTTTCCTAATTTTCAGCATCTTGTTCATCAATGGAATTCACAGCTCTGTGGTCAAATCCTGCGCTCCCTGTTCAATGCAGGCAGCCCAGAAGAGCGTTGACTCACAGCGTTGGCCCACTACAACTGCAGAAAGTCATATCCTAAATCTGACACCTGTCTGGGTTTCCTGAAGTTGGGAATCACCGCTGTCAACCCAGGACTTGCTGCAGTTCAACATGACCACAGAGGTACACCATTGTCCCCTTTTATCCCAGGGTCTGTGGCTAGAGCATTCACCCAGAGAGCTGGAAACCTGGGGGGAAAATGGAATTCAAATCCACACCTCCCAAAGCAGTATCAGTCAGACCGAGGGATGAAGGGCTCTTCTTCACCCTCACTCTGATTTGTACGAAAGCAGATGTGTTGGCTCACAAGAGAACTGGATGATCTTCAGGTCCTTTCCAACCCTAACTATTCTATGATTCTATAATGGAGGATAACTCTGGATAGACTGAGGACTAAAGACAATACTGAAGGTATGTGCAAACGTCATTTGCACGAAACAGTCCCTGGATAAAATAGTATGAGCAATCCTTGGGGTTCTGCAGTCCTTGGGACTGATATCCAGGTTACCACATGTGAGCGCGTGCCCAAAGAGTGTGCTTTCTCACTGCAAACTTCAACTCAACAGTGAGCCCAGCTTTCCTCACTCCTGTCTGCAGACAGCATTCCCAATGCTCCAGGTACAGGCTGGGGTCCTCCATAGCCTGGAGGCATGCTGCAACCACCAACCTTCTACTAGCTGGACAGCAGATACTGCCAGTCCCCACACTGTCATCCATGGAAGCTGTGGTCTGAAAAATAATGCCTCTTGCTGCCAGTGTCTGTGCAGCACACAATCCACACCTAGAATGAACTGGAACGAGCCCCAGAGGCCATAGAGGCGAAGAGGTTTGTGAGTAATGATGGGGTTTGGGCATGAGAAGAAGAGTTTGGGCATGAGATAGGTTCTATCAAGGGTAAGGTGCTTCTGAGCATGCGAGAAGCAACGTGAGTATCAGCAATATCATAGGCACTTACCGCTTTGTCTCACTGTCAGCATTAGAGGGGAGCTGAATAGGAGCTTTGAGAACTGCAATTTTATACTCAGGGTGTCTAGAAATATTCACAGCCATTTAGTGGATCTGGGCCCAAATGAATTTATCAGGCTATTGGGTGGTTTGCAGTTGATTTCCTACACATCAGTGTAAAATTACTAAAACCTGACAATATAATCCTGTTGTGTTCTCAACTAGCTGAGGAAGTTGTAAATCTTTCCCTGGGTGAACAAAGGATTTTCTATTATCCCATGGGTCTTTATTTTGACTATTCTGCCACTAGCTACATATTAACATTCCCTTTCTGGTTTGGAGATCAATTACAATACACCTACCTTTATGCAACACTGACAAAAGCCACAAAACAAGATTAATGCTTCAGTTGGTGCTCCTCCATGGGCATTAGCAGCCGAGTTAATATCTCTCGGCAGTTTGTCATTGCGTGCCTTGAAGGATAACTGCGACACAAATCAGCAGCTAAGGGGGTTTTCAAGCTTCTCGTTTTCAAATGTCGTTCAGCATAATAGTGACTATCATTTAGAATCATTCTGCTCTCCCTCATCCGCCCTCAAACTGCACTTTTTTTGCTCTCAAACACCGAGTGTTCACTAGTGCCTTCAGAGAGCTCAGTGCGGTCCATGCTTGGGAGCAAGGAGAGGCTCTGCAGCTCCTGAGTTACACCAGAATTA